CAGGGTTTGCTCCGCCTGCTAAAAGGCGAACACGAACAATGCAGAAGCTGCAAAGGTGCAAGCAAAGTGCAGGTGCATATTCTCTCTGCTCTCATCCCCTGTACAGGATCAGGCATGACAACACAAGCGAGACTCGCGACCCTGCTGCTGGCTATGGTTATGGCTGTGAACCATTTGCATACCTCACATGTCGGCGAACATGTCGAGGTCCTCCAAATCAAATTAACACTATGCAAATTTCAATTCACACAACATCTCACCTGGAAGAGAGGTTCTGACGTCATGCTATGGTCGGTCCAGATCCGCCGCTGACGGCTCTGCTTTGTCCGCCGGCGCGGCGGGCAAGGCCTCGAAGCACTTTGGCTGATGATTACTATGTCATGTCTACACTGCTCTTCGGTCTGGGACAGCCACGCAATCTTCCGAAGCCAGGTCCGCAGCCTGGATGATGCGAAAATGGGTTTCACTTCGCTTTGTGGGCGTCTCTTATTTTTCTGCTTACAAGACTTCGTTTGCCCACTTTCGTGCATGAGGGCAGAGAAGTCCCTGACCCTGGCGACCAAAGTGTCCTTCCTTGACTTGTGGAAGAAAGAGTCCAACACATTAAGACCCCCTCCTCACTCGTTGTTTTTAACGGAGGATCATTTTGACCGGTTGGCACTGTGCAAAATGAGTTTTTGTGGCGACTAACCCCTGCCTCCCATCTCCGTGCCCTCTACAAATTTAAGGGCGCATTCCGTCGAACGAAATTCCAGATAAATGTATCAGGGATAGATGTCTGCTGCATGCCTCATGCTTCGATAGCAAGGATGTTCGAGCACAGATGGACTAAGGTCCACAATTCTTGTGAAAGCGTCCCCGGAACCCGCATTAAACACGCTGGGACCGGCTTTCAGCCGGGGTCGCTTGCTGACTCTGCTGAGCCGACTCGGTGTACCAGACAAATCCGCACCGCACATGAGCTACCCGCAAATGAATTGGGGCCCCCGAAAAAAACAAGGTAAGACTTGAGACGGAAGGTTTCTGTTGCGAGTGATATTGATGCCGGCGGCCCTCTCTCTCTCGCGCTCTCTCGCTCTCTGCCTTGTTGTGCCTTGTTTTCTTTCTGTGGGGCGTCGTGCACGCCCCATGACTCTGGCACATTCTGGCACGCCCTACCACACTCAGTGGTAGGCTCCTCAGCGGCTCTTGATGCTGTTTAACAAGAAGGCAAGGTAGGGTCAATTTACCTCTAGGGCGGAGTAGGAACACATTCAAACTGGATTCGCTTAGTGGCTTTGGTCTTGTCGTTGTCTCGGTAGTGATTTTCGCCGGACACCGGCTTAGATTTTAGATGAAGATTGAATTCTCCTGACTTGCAACGTATCTTGGTCTTTGTTTCTGCTGGCCTTGGGGGTCGACAAGCGACCCTCGGTCCGTAGGCCCGCCCAACCACCCGTTGTGTTATGGAGGGAGTGGCTGGCATTGGGGTCGTCAGAACAGCTTGGTAGGCTCCGTGTTTCCAGCTGTGAGCCTCCGACCCCCCACACTAAACAACACACAACCCGGGCCTTGTCCCCACACCCCTAGGCCTCATGTGCATGGTACAGCCCCCAGGCATGGGAAGACCTGCTGCATTAGGTTTAATTGCTCCCCCAGAAGTACCCCGCTGAGTTGCAAAGTCTCTTTTCTTTCGCCAGGGCCATTTTCTCTCTCACACTCAACTTTACATTGAGACTGTCAAAAAAACTAACCGGACATCATTTCGCATCAATACAACTTCCTGCGGGCAACTTCTAGTCAGTCACACAACACAGTGGCATCTTTGCACGTGCTGCAGCAATCCCACTAGGCCCCTAAACCCGCTGGCAAGCAGGCCTCCTCATCCTCATCGAGCACGAAAGACCCGACCTGACCCTCCAGCTCGTCCTCCTCCTCTGCGGGATCGGCGCTCACCTGGTACAGACATGTACAGGGTGTTTGGCACTTCAATGCGAAATAAAAAGCAAGTGAATTCAAAAGTTGAAGGAGATACAGCCAGGACATCGGCGCTCCGTGCAATGCATTTCTAAAGCGGAACTTCCAGGCGAGGTCCTCAAATTCTTCAAACCTGAAACGAAACCACCGAAACCCACAGAACTCCCGATGCGCCCTCTTGGAAAGATCGTATCTGGCTTTTCTTGCATTAGTAAGTCGTGCAAAGGTCCAAGCACACGAAGCAGTCGAAAAGCGACGGCGCTTCGACCCTGCCTCTAGTTTGGTACGGTCGGGCGTTTTTGCAGATGCACTGGTGGTGGCGTGGCATTTTAGTGACGAATCATCCGTGTTGGGCTTGGGGTTTTCTGGTCTGCTCTGGCACCAAAGGCCTGTCACCAGCAGTTGGAGGGCTGGGAGGACAACACTGTCTCAACCAAGCTCAAGCAACAAATAGCAGTCCAGCAAGTCGACACGAGCACGCGGATCCACATTTGCCAACACAGAATGAGATGAAGGTGCTGCATTGCTACGTGTAGCCATGCTAATTGGCAACTACCACCTTCTGGATGGCCCGATGTGAAGCGCAAACAATGCCAGGTGAACCGAAGACGAACTTGGAGCCGCAGCCGGGGGCCCTTCGCAGCCCAGAACCTCAGTAAAGGCCCAACCCGTCACTTTCGCAACAGAAGAAAACTCAAGGTTTGCTATCGGATCGGAATCTGGGCGCGTGGCAGGCACGGCGGGCTCTGCTTCTTCTGGCCTGTGCCACCGCGATCTTTACATGACACAGTGAACCCTGCAGGGCTACGCAGCTGTACAGTCACGATTTGCCCCACCGCAATCAAACGCACACCCACATGGGAGGCTTACCGATTGTCTGTCCACGACTTCTGATTGCATGGCTTGCAGCTCACTGACCGGCAAAGAGTCGCAGTCTACCAAAGCTCTCTAAATCTCTGGGCCACATAAAGTCTGCGAGCCATTCCTACCTGAAGGTTCTCTGTTTCCAGGTTTGATGGTCAGGAAAGCAAGTAGATCAAGTAGAAACCACCTCTGAACCCAAAGAAACCCTAACAAGCCTTAAACCCGAAATCGAGCTCTGCGCTGGCAGCACGCTGGGATCTGTGGCAAACATGTCAGTGCGTCAATCGGGGATCATCGTCGTCGTCATCCCCATCCGCCTCAGCTATGTCAAAACGATTGTACACCCCAGTTTGTCAGATCTTGATCGCTGACATTTATTAAGGAAAATACAATTGGCGACACCTTTCGTAATGACTTATATACGCCTCCAAAGCGACACCACGAAAACTCATATCAATGTGGGAGGCGATCCAGATGAGCTCAAGTACAACCATGCAAACAAGATTCATGCTGAGCTTAAGCGTTTAAGGATGATGTCGGCATGCCACTGTTCCTAAACAAGTTCCTGAGGCGACACAGTGCATGATTCCAAGAAGAAGATTTCTGAAAGCAAGCTGCTGCCCGAACTTTGCACTGCAGGCCGCAAGCCGTGAGACATAAAAACCATGTTTATAAAGCATACTGACACGCCGTTCAAACACGTTCAAAAGTGAACGACATGCGGCACGCAATTCGTGGTCGGCGTGCTGTCAGTCTCACGTGAACTACGTATACCGTATACTCATACCAGCAGCGGAAACGGTGAAGGAAGCACGTGAAAGAGTTGGCAGTTTAATAGACATGTGTAACATAGGCAAAACAAACTTGCTCAAGAAGTTCTCATTGCCATGGCTTCTGCATGCTTCTGCACCGCGATGTTCCCCCATGGATGTTTAAACGTAAGCTTCTCTGACGTGGACCTTGTTTGGGCACCCGGCCGGGCCGGCCGGACCGGCCGAGGCTGCGGCCATCACAGGAACCTGAGAAGCTCAAAAAGTGGCCCAGGAAGGCTCATACAAAACTCCGCATGCTCCGCATTCTGCCAAGCTTCCGGAGGCAAAGTCTTCTTTCGCTTCTTCGGCGGCGGTGGCATCTCACCGCAAACAGAAAGAATCTCTGCTTACTGCCGTTCTGCACGTGAGATCACGTAAGCGCCTCGGCACTTTCCAAAGTCTGACCACCCGTCGAAGGCGCAGGGTCGAGATCTGCCTCGCAGCAGCTCCAGCGCACGGGGTGTTGGTGTAAGATGTGTAGGACACGGGGAAGTGCTGCGGCTCCCCCGCACAACTCTGCAGTAGACCATAAGCTCAAGAGTCTTCCTGCTTGCCTTATTCACAACTCAGTTCAAATTTTGCGCTGCGACGAACCTCAAATTCCCCGCGGCATGTGGAAGGAATGCTGGGTGCACACATTAATATGAGAAGGTCGTAGGTCAAACTGGGCAATCAGGTGTAGAGATGGGCGAGCTTTCCATCACGATGCCGGGCTGTACAATACCAAAACAAACGATTGGTTGGTATTCACTCATGCACACAATGCTGGCGGCACATGTGACAGGGCGACATGAGGACGTTGGGATGGATGCTTGGCATGACCAATGCACGTTGCTTGAGGCAGCGTGCCAACGTCTCTATGCCAGCCAGGAGTTGAACAGTCTTAGCAGTCTTCCAGAGTTGCATGCTGCCTCATGTCCAACTCCTTGGCACGATCTCCCACACACACCCCAACATTTTTGAGGGGCAGTGTTCAAAGCTGCCTAGCGAGGGGCCTTGGCCTCAAACACTTCAACAAAACTTTGCAAGTCAACAGCAGCCATCGCGAACTTAAGTTCGAACAATGTGAAAGTGCGGGCGTAGTCACCTTAGAGCGAAGCTGCCCAGAAACGACCGCAGACGGCTGCCCACTTGGCTTGCTGGGAAAAAACAGGCAAACTTGCACGGAGAGGGCCAACAAGTTTTCCCTGCTGAGCAAGTGTGCCACAAGTGCTAGCGATCGGGCTGTGCCAGCACTGTTGCAGATACCTCTGTCTCTAACACAGGCACTGCATTCTGTACACTTAATTAGTCATGCACACTGTGCACACAAGCATTCATGCCATTGCTTGCGAAGCATGGTCGATGCTAGCGGCAACAATATTCCCGTTACTGAATTGCTGCAAGCTTGGGGGCCAATGCCCTGGCGATCGTGTTGCTGATGCCCGCGACGAATTCAGTCATCTCCGCCATCCATTTCCAGAATAGCCTGGCTGATGCCAGTGGAGCATTCGCTCTCTTCTCTAGGCACGCGGAGCTGCTTTGAAATTCTTAGGTAACATCAACGTCCATGCGCTCACACATATGTCGGGCCCTAGACGGAGAGAAGATATCCCATACCGGAGTTCGGAAACTCAGCAAGCTCTGCTGCTTCTTTGTAATTCTCTTCATAGCCCGATGGCGCCTGGGAGGATCGACGGTGCGCACGTCGAAGCCGCAGCGCGACCCTAAACCCAGCGCCGCGAAGGCCTCATTGAGTTTCTGCAGTCTATGCACCGTCAGCGATAATTTACCTCCAGGGCATCATCCACCCTTCTCATACGCCACGATATCTTCCAGTTTTTAAACTGCCCAACCCTACCGGATTGACAGTGGATGAACCTGCAATAACCTGCAGCTAATACCACAGCCCAAATCAACAATTCAGAAGCGGGAAGTCGAAGACGAATGGAAGCCATCGCGGCCCACATCGCCCTCTAATGGAACTTTGGCTCGAACCCCAAGCTGCCTCGCGCAAGCGGCGCTTTGTGGCAGCAAGGATCGGCGGCTCCCAGGTGCCTGGATGCCAAGAAAGACTCGTAAGTCGTAAGATCTCATAATCGCCTCGCTAGCTACCTGCGTCTGCGTCTCTTCTCGATTAGGTTCCATTCACATCCACACCGATCCCAAAAAGTTTGTGTCTTTCGTGTCCTACACAGCTTCCGAATGCCTGATGTGGGTCTGTGTCTGTCCGCACAAAGTCATTGATGTAACCCCTTTCTGTTCGAATTCACAACGGAAACTTGCCACCCAACCTCTGCTGCCTCCTTAAGTTTCCGCAGGCTTTGGCATGCATGGGCAACGATACTGGCGTACACGGCTAAACACGCGCCGCCTCATCGCGAATGTGATCCCATGCAACGCAACATCGGAACTGCTCCAACGACGCTAACCTCTAGATCACGGCTTCGTGTTATCACCTTTGCACCGCGATGCGCTCAGGTATCGGTGTCTTGCCCTTCATGCCTCGCAACCACACACACACACACACACCAATCAACGTTTTTGTTCAATGCTCGTTACTGCTCGTTGTCGTTGTGGTAACAGAAACTCCCCAGGCAAGAGGGGACCATAAGAAGCCTTTCAGGTCTCCGGGCCTTCCCAAATCTTCCCAGCATCCATATTTTGACGATCCACAAAAACAACATGTCGAGCGGTTGTCACAAGAAGAGAACAGCAGTTTGCCTGTCCGACACCTTGGCTTCTGTTGTGCGGCTGGCACTTGCCGCGAGGACCCGCATTGCGACACTCGTCCCTAATCCATCTCACTCCTCTCGAATCTAGACCTTTTCATCAGCTCTGCCATAGTGCAATCTCATGGGTCACCGTAACATTGACATATGTATGCAACGGCAAGTTTCACCTTTTGCTACGATCCACAGTGCCGTTTGTGGTGCCCTGTCAGATCTTGGGTTATCCTGGCTTCACAACACCTGCCAAGCACTTCCTCACCCTCTCATCAGATCAAGTCTGAATGTGATTGCAACCAAAATCACCTGCCTGTCCAGAACAGCAGTTGGCTTCCAGGCACCTTTCGACAAGCAGGCTGTGCACTAGTCAGTTCAGGACTCAACATACCTCAACCACAACTTGGTCCCTCTTAAGCGTCCATCCCTACCGGCTCGATAAACCCATCAAAACAACTTTTGCATGCACTGCTTCCCCTACGTTTCTGTACATCTCCAAATCCTCAGCTCGTCTCAAAGAACATACCGTACAGCCTGGGCCAGCAGGGCAACCAAAGGGTCCAGGTTTTTGGAGGCAGCGCGTGCCGCCACAGCGAAGACGATCCCGCCTTTCGCCGACTGGCCATGCCGTCTGGCAGGGAGTGAATTTGGAACTCTTTTGGATGCCGTGAGCACGCAATTCTCGTTGTTGTCCGTTGTTGAAAGTTCAACCACCGAAATGTCGAGCAAGACAGTTCGAGACTTTGCAGGTGGCAACTTCTAGAGCAAAACGCCGAAACTACTGTTGCCAAATATTGCCAACCTGTGCCAGCCCTTTCTTCAGCCTGAAAAGCTCCGCCATTGCCTTGCAGTCGGCCTGGACCGGTGCCATGATATGAGTCTCTGATGCTTCGCTAGAGAAAGAGGTGATAAGGCTGTTTCGCTCGTAGAAGGTGCGATGCCGGGCAGCCTCCGTGTAAGATTCCAGACCCACGGGATTCGCCTTCCAGCCGAGGCTAAGGTGTGCGCCTTCCACAGCTTCGTCTTGACCAGTCGTGGCTCCAGTTCTTGCGACTTCCGCCCGCCCTCTACTTCAGGTGCGAACGACAAAAGCCTGGGCAGTGGCGCTGCGCGGCATCGAAGAAGGCGTCGGCAGGAACGGCGCAACGCCAACTCCGCAGTCCTGGGCCCGGAAGTACCTCAGTCACCAAGCACGGAAGACAAGGGCTCTGACTTCCCTCAGGCGGGCAGCGGCAAAGAACTAGGCTCCCCACATCCGCATTCAGCCACACGGCCTCAACCAAAGACACCAAGACACGGAATTACGGGCACTTCTTGTGCGGCATTCGGCTGCGACCTGGCCTGGCCATTCGCAGCCAGCTTCTCGCTGTGCTCTGCCAGCAGCGGCAAGCAAAGCTGCACAGCCTCCAGGTCCTGCAGCGGAGCGCTTCATCCCGAAGTGCAACGAAAGCAATATGCATTTGCGACCATGGGCCTTGAAGTCGAATTTGACATGACGTCGCCCGTCACGAATGACTTCATCAAGAAATGTCTGGAAGGACAGGTCGGAAGTGAGGACAGGCCTCGAGGCCCGGCTCGTACTACAAAAACGCGTCACCATCTGAAACCTGCTGGTGAACACGGGGCAGCTGAGTCTTGCACGGGTGCGCCATGACAGGGACGAGAGCGGTGCCGCTTCCGCTTGGTCCTGTCAGCGGATCATGCACGACCTGCTTGAGTATGTGACGCAAGCTCATATGGCGTGGGGCCAGCTTACAAAATTATTTGCTCGGATTCGGCGGATCGCAGGGAGTCATTCATTATACCCGTCGGGAACTACAGTGAGCCTGTCAAGTATCCCATGGCCACGTCGACCTCGATAGCAGTAACCTCAGGATCCTGGCCGCACATGCCACGACCTAACTCCGTCTTCAATGCTGTTCTGATCTCTTCCGTCCTGCAGTGCAGCTTCCAACTTCGCTCGGGTAACGCATGAATGGGCCCAGACCTGGTCTCAGGCACCGAAATCCAGCCACCGGTCGTCAAGACGCGATGGTGCGTGCTGCAAACTTCAGCCTGCCTGCTGCGGTGAAGGCATGGGTGCCCATCGAGTGCCACGTTTGCTCGGCCGCTTTGCTTCCACCACCTGAACTCTTGGGAAGACAAACCCTGCGTGCTACCGCAATGCCAAAAGGCCGCGGACCACTCGTGGGGGAGGTGGTCGTTCTGTGACAAGTACCTGGGCAGAGCCAGCCCTTGAGCAAAGCCAGCAGTCCGAAGCCCAGACATCTTTAGGCCCCAGCAGGTGTTGAACGCCACTCAACAGGCAGTGTGCCTGCCTTCGATGGCCCGAGGGTACAGCCAACCAGACAAAGGCCTGCAGCATTCAAGGTGCAACCGAAGGTGCATTCCATCTTCTTCTGTAAATCCTTTTCGTTCGTTGCACACTTTGCTTCTCTGTCTCTCCACTCGCCCATTCTCGTGATTCATCGCAGCGGTTTGGATCCTGCTGCTTCGGATGGGCCGAGTCAGGACTCTCATGAATGGAACTCCTCCCTGTCAGCGACACAGTCACCCTCCTCTGAGCTTGTTCCAAACATCAGGGTACTCAGGCATACAGCCCCGGTTTTAAGAGGAGAGTCGTACAAAGCAACACACTTCGAAAGACTTCGTCTAAAAGACTGGATTAGGGTCTGTCTTCACTTCACTGCGGAGTCCAGGGGGCGAGGCGCGCCCCTGTTCAGAGGCGTAAGGGTCCACAGCAGCTACAGGCTCGTAAGGGTCTGTCTCTTTCTTTCGCCAGGGTTGTGGTGCAGGGGTTGCCCCCTGCACCGGTCTGTCTCTCTCCCGCTCTCTCTCTCTCTCTCTCTCTCCCTCCCTCTCCACCAGGCCAGAGGGAACGAGCGGACGCCCGAACCCTCGCACGCGAACGCGCACCTGCAGGTCACAGGTTTTAGAGTTCCCCCGCAGGAGTTTTACCCTGGGAGGCTCGGCTGGACAAGCCCAGGGGAGCTCCCCCACTCAGACCACAGTCCCCAGCAGACACAACTGAGGCCCCGGCCGCAAAGAAACACACCCCGCTCTCTCTCTCTCTCTCTCTCTCTCTCTCTCAGGCACGACGGAATTCAAATGCATTGAAGACACCTGCCGCGGCAGTCAGCTTCTGGCGGGCGCTCCGCGGAGCCCGCCGCGACAAGCTCATGGCTGTGAAGAGACCCCCAAAATTTGACAGAGCACCTCGTGAGAGCTTTAAGGCTACAACCAAGCAAGAGTATACGCACATGGGTGACGACAGGAATGATCTTAGTGTCTCAGAATGAGTAAGCCGCAATGCTGACACGGTAGCACTCACATGCCACTGCAGCCACAAACTGCTGAAAACTGTATGGACGCCGGACCGACCAGATGGCAGAAGTTGAGGGATTAACAAGTGGAACAAGCGCCTTGGCGCGTGGATCTGTAGGCGGCAGGGGTAGGACCTGCCCACTCTGAGAGCTTCGCATGGTTGGTGTGAATCCGCTGTAGGTCTATCGCGAAACCGAGTAGATCCACGCTGCGGCCAAACTCCGAGCTGCTTTTGCAGGTGCATCCAGCATAGCACAAATTCTCCCTGGGGTGAGCAAGCAGGTGCTGCCACCAGCCAAGAAGCTACTGCCCTGAATCATTGATCCTTTTGCAGCTTGCAAACAATAGATTCTGTGCACCTGCCTCTGACAACTAAACCAACCTCTACGGCTGGAAGCGTCGGCCACATTTGACAGCACGGAGGGGCCGGTGCTTGCGAAATGGTGGGGGCCCACGCATGGGCAGCCCCTCGCCGGCCCTTGCACCCAGGATGCCATTTTGCGAAAGCGGCAGCGAAATCATCCGCTACGTGGAGCGTCTTTGGCTCCATCGCTCCAAACGGTATCTTTGGCTCCGTTGCAAACTCGTCCGCTGCCTCCTTTAGATCGATTCGCGACGCCATCGAGTGGCACAGGCCGTCGGCTACTCGGGAATTCTTCGCAAAACATGTGCAGCTTTGTGCAGCATCAGATGGTGTGACAGTCTTCCCTTGCAGCAGTTTCCACTTTGCTCAGCTGAAACAGCTGCAGAAAAAGAGATCTAATAATGCAGAACAGATCTCAACCTTGCTTCTTCCAGCTGCCTCTACAAGCATATAGGGGTGCCAAGCCTATCTCGGCTAATCGCACATCAGAACCGAACCTTTCGTACTCTCGCGCTGACTTCGAGTTTAGTCGCTGTCATTTCTCGCGCACGAGGGCGTGCGCGTCGAGTCCCTCTAAACCCTGTTTTGGGGATCCAAGGCCGGTCCAAGCCCAAGCCCAAGCTCGGCCTCCCAGACCTCCGCGTGTGTGTCTGGACACTCGCTGGACCAGATCGGACCGCGCTCGGGCAGGTCGTCGTCACCGACCTAGGCAAAGAGACATTTTGCAGCGGCGGCAGCGGTCCTCAGTTCCTCCAAGATCCGGGGCACCCACAGGCACACTTCTTGCTTCGCCAGCGCCGAAGAAATACTGGAACAAGACTCCAGTCTGCTGGTCCTGAGCGTTTTTGAAAACCTGGACATCCGAGAACCTTCCTCGAGACTAGAGCTTCGGACCCACTCGAAGAAGAGGCCCTTGTCCGAGTGGTGGTAGTAACACCGCGCCCCGCCCTCCACCACGTCCCACCTGAAGGCCAGAACAGTAAAGGCTGGGCAGATGCTCTTCGACATTCCGGTCGTTGTCCCAGGCGCCGATCTTGTGCCTTGGAAAAGGCTTCCCTCCAGTTGATGACCGGCCTGCGGTAGCCGTTTATGACACTAAACGAAGGCATGTTCCTTTGCCTTGGTGACTTCACGGGCTCGGTCGCAGCTGGAGTCGCTGAATCGGCCTGGGGCGGGCGGAGATGGGCGGAGGAGCAGGCGATAGGTGCAAAAGACAAACTCGGGCCGCAGCGGCGGCATCTGCTGAAGCGTTTTGCGCTGCTGGCAGAGGCGCAGCTGCATCAGGTTCTGCACCAGCCGCTGGATCTTTGTCGGCTTGCCCGGTAGCAACATCCTCACCAGCGAGCCATTTCCTCGCCAATGCATGAGGTCGCTCCACGCGTCGACGCGCTGCGACTGCACTTCATGAAGTGCCGAGTGCTGGCCTCAGATCTTCCTTGTCGGAGCTTGAACCTCAAGCAGACGAGCACACTTGGATCCGGGGCAGTCTGCCGAGGAAGGTTGATGAAGCATATTCATATGCACATGCGCATGGCAAGCACTGCAAAACAGCTGAGGGTCCATCCGCTCAGGGACTGGACAGCCTTCTTTGCTGAGGATGAACCTCATGCTGCAGAAGAGCAACATGCTCCCGTAGACAAACCTATATACAAACATCAAGAGGTGAACAGCAGCCCCTGTCGATTGTGCTCTGGACCAGTCTGGGAAAAAGAATGCTTTGGGCAAATGCATCTCGCCGTGTGTCTTTGATTGCCTGCGGCTGCATGAAACTGCAACAAGATCGCATCATCATGCGCCATACGCTGAAGCTCCCACACCAGTGTGCCGCAGGTAGGGAGCTACGTC